TACGTCTTAGACTCCATTAAAATATTCAGAAGCATCTATTATGAAAATACTAAATCTATACCGTCATTATGCACTAATGACTATTTTGTACTATCTTGCTCGACCAACCAACCAAATACATGTTTTTAATATTTTTTAAGTGTTTCTTGCCCGTTACATTCTATGAAAAGACAATATCAACATTAGCAATGACGACGTGGTATTTTCTTAAAATTTTCTTTTATATGTCACAAACAATGCCTATGCGCAACCCAAGAAAAAGCCTTTCTATATCCTCTAAGTAGACCCAGATGCCTATTTGATGTTATGCAAAGGTTTACATAGAATCAAACTAGATCAACTAGAACATATAATTATTGTAGAAACCATAATTAGGACTCATTATTTTCATACTCAACCATTGCGAATGTTAAAGAGAAGAGACTATCATTTTCATTAATATGTATGACATCTTGTAGAGTTTTTCTATATTTTTATAAGAAAAAAAAATCCCATCAATATTAAGTACTGGATGATAGAAGTCATCAATTTACATTTACCATGAATGTTCTGAAAATTTCATTAAAGTGTGCAATATTGCTAACTTTTATTTTATATATAGATCTAGATATCTCTATGTATACAACTTCCATCATATAAAATAATGAGTAGTACGACTCCTCATAAATGCTATAAAATAACTTAAACATCTTTATTCGCGCATCTCAAAATTTAATAAATGTAATACGGATATTAAATTTAGAATTTCTTTCATGCAATCATTTTTTTTTCAAATTTAGTTGTTGTCATAAAATGGTATGTAATGAGAAATAAATCTTTAAGTGTAATTTCAATGACTGTTCAACATAACTATATCGATACACGTATGCGATGTTTTAATTGAAAAGATCTTCCATGAAACCCCTAAGCAACTAATATTTGAAGCATGTAGTCGACAATGACAAAGAGATGAAATCATTAAGTGGAAGAGTAGAATATGAAAGTTTAAAAAAGATATTCCTTGATATATGAATGATCTTTATAAATTGTCATTTTTGTTGTTTGCTTAGATTATTTTGGGTGTTTCGTTGCATCTCTATGTTTATGCTTTCATTTTAAATTATATATTGGTTGGTTTTCCTTTTTTCTTCTATTTTAGGTCTTTTTCTTTACATTTGGTCCTACTATTTTTTTGTCTTTTTTTTTAAGTGACACTGCAACGGTTTATATTTTCTATGATTTTTTTTTTTATTTTAGATATTCATAATACTTATAAGAAATACTAATGTTTTTATTTCAGCTAAAATCTCTCACTATTTTTTCTTATATGTTCATATATTTTGAGATTTATCTAATTTTTCAGCTATATTGTTAGATCATTAGCATTTTGTTCTTGTTGGTTTATTGTTTGATCTTCTTATTATATTGGTTGCTTTTATTCTATGTTGTTGGACCATTCTTTAGGGTTCCATGGGTGATTATATTGACAATTGTTTAGAGTTTTTGGTTCTATTCCTATATTAAATGATGTGATTTGTTGATTTTTTTTTTTTTTTTTTTTTTTTTTTTGTGTTTGTTTGGATTTTTGAAGTTGTTCACATCTTTGGAGCTATTTGGTTCTATTTATTTGATGTGTTGCTTATTTTTGGTTGTCTAGGTTTTTATTTCATCTTTTTCCAATTTTTTCTTAGGTTTTCTTATCTGATTTTTTTTTTTCATCCAGATTTTTCATTTTTATTTAATTTTAATATTCTTAATTCTTATATTGTAGTTTTTTATTGAGGTTTTTACGTACCAACTATCTGAAATATTGAATATAATATTTTAAACATCTAAACTTTAAATATTACAATTTAATCATTTTTTTTTCATTTCAACTACCCTCTTTTACATGCTGGTGAAGTCTTTTGAGTTAAAGTTTTGGGTGGTTAACATGTATTTAAAATTTTAGTGGTTAATACGTTATATTTAGGGTGTTTTTGGGCAGCTTGTGCTTATCCAGATAAACCATTTATCTGGAAACGCGAACCGCAGGGTTCGACTGACATTCCGTGTTTAGTGTAAAAAATCAACTGCGTTTTCGGATAAGCCGCTCAAATGCAGTTTCCAAATGATGAGATGATGTTTTCAAAATATCGCCGCAGCGGATAAACTGCACCAAACGGAGCCTTAATATTTTGGGAGGTTGTTATATAAAAGCCCCATTTTTATTTTCTCTTTAATTAGATTCTAATCTCTTTTTCCCGTCATCTTTCACTTTAGTTCTTGTTGTCTTTTGCCTTTTGCTCATGTTGGATGTATTATTAATTGTTAGTATTTCATGTTGATGGGATCATTCTTTTTAGCTAGTTGTGTTAGATTTTTTGAATTAACAATATATTTAAATAGATATCTTAACATTCCTTTTTAAATGCTTAGATATTATTTAAACATTTGGTTGACATCGTTTCTTACTTCAATGGTATTCTTGTGATCATAATAGCCATCTTCTTGTTCTTTCTTCTTTGCTAATTTTGAATTGAGCTATGATAATTTCCGACTATTAAAATTCAACCGTTATGTTTAAAACTCACCAATGAAATTCATCTGTTTTTGGCTTACATTCCTCCTTTTGCTTTAATGGTATTCTTATGATCCGAACATCGAAGGACTCTATTAGCAGGTAAACTTTGCTCGACCACTTTGACATGTGGGATTAGTTCGACCACTTCGGCATGCGGGTTTACCTCAATCACCTCGAAAGGTGGACTTAATTCAACCACTTCGGGAGATGAGCTTAGCTTGAGAATAACTTGATCTTCAAATAAATTGAGTCTACATGTTAAAATTAAATATACATTGTTTTGACATATTCTTTTTCATGTGCAAAACCAAATTGAAATAATATTGCCTACTTGTGTACGTTAGAGTCAATGAAGCGCCCTAATAGAGTCCTTTGACTAAAGTACACAAAATGTATGTGCAAAATCATAAATTAAAAAATAATAATAATAACGAAGGAATAGTATGGAAATTTCACATGACCCCTCTAGGGGTGTAAGTCATGCCTACTCATGAGTTGACGGGATCAATGGTTCATGAACTAAGCCCGATCAACTAACAAGCCAAGCTCAAATCAGGCTTGGCTCGACTCAATAGCTCGTAAGCGGGCTTGATTAGAAAAATATTAATATAAAATAAAAAACTAAAGATATATTACATTTAAAGACTTTATCTTTAAAATATTTAAAAAATAATATATTTATATTTTATATTAAATATTTTCTTATTTTCTCTCTCCAAGTTGCTCCTTTAATTTGTCATTTTAATAACATTACCTTAAATTTATATTATTTTCTATATTTTATAGTAAAATAAGTCAGGTCAGGAGCCGAATGAAACCCAGACTTAAGCTTGAGCTCAAGCTAGAACTCGATAAAATTAATCATGCACAAACTCAAGTTGGTTGTGGCTCAAGCTCGAGCTCGACTCGACTCACTTCCACCCCTAACCCTCTCAACAATACTAAGCCACCTAATAAGGCTCTCCTTTTGTGAACTTATTTTCAAGTCATTCGTTAAGCTAGTATAATTTGAATAGATATTATGAACATACGATTATCATAGGCATTAGATTGTAATACGAATGGTCGAGATACAAACATCAACCCTAAAAATTAAACCATTAAGCACGAACGAGATTTATTATTACTCAGGCAAGATCAAATTCAAAATCATGACAATAACTACTAAATCATTATCAACCAGACTATCTGGCACCCTCTGCTATTCACATTATGTTTTCATTATTAGGGCCTATAAGAAAAAGTTGACTAATTACATATCTTCCCGGCAAGACCATCTATCTGCATACCTTCCAATTGAACCTTCCATGGCCTCCATAGCAGATAGGCGGAGAGGATCAGCCTCTAGGCCATAGTCTGTTAAAGGCCTGCGCTCAAGAACTTCATCATGACGCTGCACAAACTCTGGGATCTCAACCTGTCCCTTCCTTATGTCTGCCCACACGAACTCTAATCGGCTTATATATTTGATTTTCCAGTATATGCTGCAAGGTTCAAAACGACAACGCATCATTTATATAGATATATGTATAATTATAGATAATGATATGGTATTTTATGTAATGTGAACATTTACAATTATACAATATTTAATTCATCTGCTTGTTTAAAAACACTTACCTTAGCTCCCATCCTTTTCACATCTGCCAACCTCATTTGTTTTCCCGGTCTTAGCATTTCAAAACACTAAAATTTACAACATCATTTTTGCCCAGTTAAAAAAAAAGGAGCATTTGCATACATGTAATACTTAAACTTTGGTTTTTTGCATTTATCTCACCCAAATCTTTCATATCACATCAAAATTATCACTATTTTAACAGAAAAAAATAAAAATAAAATACACTTAATCATGTATAGGTAAGGTGGCATGTATGTAGAAATTGAAGTCTAGGTGTCAGACGTAAATACATAAAAATCAAGTGGTATGCGTGTAAATCTTCCTATATAAAAAAAAAAGGGAAGTTAAATATAGTTGAATCTCAGTCTAAATATCTGACTCAACATGGTTAGTGGAGCAGATTTCAATTAACCTTGAACCAACTCAAATTACAATCAGTTTTGCTCAACCACTTCACTACAAAACATTTTACCTCTCATGTAGGATGAAGTGTAATCCTCAAAAAGAAGGCACGGGCTTCATAATTTTGATTTTATATACTTTAAAAATCAAAGTAATGATAATATAAGGTAAGGAATACAATTTTTTATTTGATCTCATTGATTTTACGCATCAAAATATAATCATATTAACATGAAATTAATTATGTAATATTTATTCGTACTTAACATTATTTTTTCGTATTTACAGATCAAGATTAAAATGAGTTTAAACTTCAAATAAAAAATACAAGAATGGATTAAGTAATCCAAAAGAAGAGCAACAAAATAGGTGGTATCGAGTAAGGTCAAGAAAAAGAATAATGTCGATAAGATGAGATGAAAGACGAGACATTACGAAAAAGATGAAGATGAAGAAATGGAAGAATTTTTTTGTTTTTTTTGTCTTAAAACTTCAAAGTGGGATCTTGGAATAGATGGCAGCGGCAAGAATTTTCTTTTATTATTAATGCATTTCCCTTCCCAATAATTTTGAATAGCATAAATGTTGAATTAGGCCATTTGAACTTAAAAAAAATTATGTTTTTCCCCGATTCGGACTGCATCATGAAGCATAGGCTTTACACGCAAAAATAATAGAAAAAAAAAACTATTACATAAATGCATATGGATGCCAAAAGACGTAATTCAAATACAAGAAGATTAGGAAATCTTGAACTTCTCATTTCAAGAGAATAGAAGTTGTTAGTGAATAAAATTAATAAAATTCATGATACAAATTACATAAAATCAAACTAAGGAATAGGTAAATCGCAACATTACCGGACGAATGAATCCCAAAGATTGGTTATTACTAAAACCAAAAGGAAAAACCTCTTGCAATTATAATAAGGCTCGGCGCCATTTCAGTTAAATCAAACTGGTTTACATGTTATAAATGGTACGGTACCTATTTATGCCTGAAGCTAGCCCAGAATTATTGTCGTTCGGCCAAAAGGAACAAGAATGCCTAAAAAAGTTACAATGAAATGGGACTTCAACTCATTGTCACCTTTGAAGCACTGAAATTTTCATGAAAGTGAGTCACGCATGCAATATATCCATCAGAAATCATATTAAAGGGATTTCACTACAGTATATTGAACATTTCTTATAGCATTTCACTAGCTGTTGTTTCTTCTTCTTCTTATTTATTTATTTATTTTTTTATTTTTTTTTTGTCCAAATGCCGATGTATTAGCTATTCCGGTTTTAATAACAGAGCCTCTAAAATATAAACCAATATTAGTTCTATGAAACATAGTTCAAATAGGCATAGTACATGTCAAAAGAAATGAACAATGCTTGATAAATGACATTAAAATTCTAGCAATAAATAAATAAAACTATTCATGTTAATCCAAATAAAAGTCTGACGAACATAATTCACTTTGAACATTAACAAATACAGAAGAAGGAATGTTAAATCATCTTATCACAGCAGCCAATCAATAAAAATGTTAAATTTTATCGATCAACACCCCAATGACTGTAAATTCTAACGAATACTCAGCTTGCAGATTTAATTTGATAAAGTATGTGAAGAAAAATAATATTGATTTACATTTTGCAACATTAAGGAGCGAGTTGGACACTGAGAATTTGAATGCAAGGAAATTAAAGAGTACAACATTTGCATTAATGGTTGCAATTCATCATCAGTCAATAAATTATTGGGATTTCATTTCCTTTATTTAGCTTTCCTTCAATCCAAACACAGGAAATATGATGAAGAAATATTGAAAGTAAAAATCGATGGAAAAATTTAAAAAAAATCATTTTTTGACCGTGGGATGAAGCATCGATTATCATCCTTTTGAATGAAAGGAAGCATATTTGACCATATTCAGTTTTAATTACTGTCCTTTTTGTCCATCATGCAAAATCTAAACAATTAATCAAAACTATTCACATCAAACCAAACCATGAAAAGCAGTAAAGAGAATATCAAATTACTCTATAGCCCTTTGCCCCCAATTCCTCCCTACACCAGTAAACAACAAATCATAATTCGCATACATAGCCCCAAAATTGAAATAATCTCCTCCACGCATCCATCCTTTAGCCTCTTCTACTAAGCCAGTACTGAAAGCTAATCAAATTACTCTATAGCCCTTTGCCCCCAATTCCTCCCTACACCAGTAAACAACAAATCATAATTCGCATACATAGCCCCAAAATTGAAATAATCTCCTCCACGCATCCATCCTTTAGCCTCTTCTACTATCATCACCCTCCTCTTTTCCCTAGTCATCAATTCCTCCCTTCGGACCAATCCAGCCCTATAACATCCCCCCCTTCTTTAGCTTCATCCCCACCCCACTTACCCCTTCAACCATTTTTTATAGATTCGACTTACCCTTTACTTCATGGAAGCACATCTACCATCAATTTTGTATCCACAAACAGCTCCTCCCAAGCAAACAAGCCCGCCATCTATTTCATTGCAAGGTCCCACACAATCTACCCTCCAACTCTTCTAAATCCACAGTGACAAGCTTCAACATCCTCTTCGGTGTGGACATCATTGTGGTAGCCATGGTGATGCAAGGAGTGGCTCAGCTTTTACAGCGGGATGGTGGTGGGGTGATGTTGAGTGGGGGATTAAGATATTAAAGACTAGGAAGATTTACATAAAACCACTCAGTTCTTATATATTTACATATCTGACACCTAAACTTCAATTTTTACATATATCGCCTTACCTATGGATGAAAAGGTGTATTTCATTTTTTTTTTTAGTTAAAATAGGGATATATTTTATGTGATATGAAAGATTTGTGCGGTATAAATGTAAAAAAGAAAAGTTTAGGCGCTAGATATGTCAATACATTAGAAATTAGTAGTATGTACGTAAATGCCCCTAAAGACTATCGAATCTTGGCTATGACAGAAGTGTCAATTTTGGTGAAAGATGGTGAGGGAGAGGAAGTCCACTAGGGAGACAAGATTTGTAAAGTATTATGAGAGTCAACGATCCGACGAGCATGAGATGGCTCTGGAAGCTTCCTTCTATCCCCTCCTTCCTATATTGTCGCTTCATTCAGTGCACACACCTCCCAAACAAACAATAACACTTAAGGAGCACCACTTCTTCTCTTAATACCCCTAAGATTCTGAACAATAAGATTCTGAACAATTGGATAGATTGCAGAAGACATGCTAACCCCAACACAGGATACGAAAAGCTAAGAGGAAACAATCTACAAAAACTTTATTTTATCTTATATGCTAATCTAAAACTATAAATGAGGGTATTTTGATTATAATATTTCATACCACTCAAATTTATGTGAGAAATCTCATCACATGAGCGCTGCATATGCTAAATTAATAAAAAATTGTAAGAACCTTTTGTAAGAGATGGCAATCAACCTCAAAACAAATTTGTAAGTTGAAAAGTATTTTAGACCAAAATAGAGAGATTTTAAAATTGTGAACCAACATGAAGAGCAACATAAACTTATGGGAAATGAAATTACCCATATTATTTTTTTTTTAAGTTAAAAACTCCACAAACTATTCTCCTGAGGTTGACAAATCATAAGAATAGATCTTGATTCATGAGCAATCATTACTATGTTCTTTATTGGAAACTACAATAATGATCATTTTCAACACAAATTTCCTAAAAACACCAAAAAAATTAATTGTAATAGCTCAGGAAAGTTATTAAAAAATAA